ATATATATATATATATATATGTATGTATATGTATATGTATATGTAAACTGTGGAATTAGTTGTATCCACGGGGCCTGGACACTACTGTCGTATTCATTATCATGTTTCATCTAGAGATTCTATATGTTCTTAACTTGCTAATCTAATAATGGTTAGCCTAGCAGAATTGAGGCATATCATTTGGTGATTTGTTTGTTGCATGCAAGGGACTTCAATGGAGAAATTGTCTAGATGTAGAGGTAAATTTCCAGAGAATCTATCTTAAAAGAAACCATATACCAAATGATATGCTTTTATGAAATATAGACTTTGCTTGCCAGTCATTTCTAAGCTTGAAATAATGATATACATAGAGGCCAAATATCTGAAATAGCCTGTTGAAATTGTAAGTCCAGTATTTTGGTAGTAAAAGTGAGTTTTGTGGTGCAATGCAGTTGGGTGATACTGTGCAGCATTAATAAGATATTGGTCTAATGGATTCTCCATGATCTGGAGACTTATAATGGTGATGTCATTATTGAGTATATGGCTTGTTGACAGAAACATTAAACATATCCTTAAAACTCTTATAACTTTCTCAATTTATTTGATGTTGGTTTGTTTTCTGTGACCTGTGGTGAATCAGCATGTCTTTGGTTGTTATTTGAGTGGAAAACATTAATTTCAAAGATACGCCGTCTGTAATAGAATTACATCCTTCTTGGAATAGAATACAAGAGGTTAAATTTACACTGAAAGATGAGAGAATGAGCACAGATATAGTCCTACTGGCAAAGAGGCACCCATTGTGTTATTTTAGTTGCTCCTCTATTGACCTTTTAAACTATGGGTTGAATATTTGATGTAAAAGGTGCTCTGAAGCTGATTTGAGTCCTCTGATATTTATAATTTTATCGAACTAAGAAATGCAGCAGATTATGCTCTATGTTGTTTTTCTTTTTCGGTGTGATTTCCACCCTTGTATTAGGATTAAAGATGTCGGAAAATCTGAGACGTTATTTGTGGGGTGTTTATCTTTTGCTCAATTCGCATCATTGAAGAGGGAAGCAACACAGGGAGATGGATAATGGATGGATAAAAAAGTTAAGCTCGTTTCTGAAGATGAGCTTCCAATGGGAAATTGGGAATCCATTTGAGAGATCCCGATGCTAAGTTAAGACAACACCCAATTGATAATTAAACTAATAGCTGAATTCTTGAACATGTTCAAAAACTTTGAACATATTATCGAAGGGTATTCGCCCATACAGCTTCATATGTCAGTCAAGCGCGTCCAGAATAATCTGACTGGGCTGGCATTGGTTTGTTAAGAAAGCTAGGAAAAGGTGACTTAGCTCAAGCTGTCATTAGATTAATTAGTGCAAACATCCCATCATAAGCTGTGCGAGGTGGCATCGTCAACATATTTGCTAATGTACCGGATTCTTCTTTTTTGGGAATTTAACAGCTTCACATAGACAAACGAGAGAAATATTAAAACTGAATCAGAACCATTTTTAAAGGACAGCAAGACTTCGGTTTATTGCAAGATAAATGGCAAATGTCGATGAGGATTAGCCCAAGGGGTATGCCTACTAGCAGGCAGCAGCTTTCACATACCATCAAATCCAAACTGCCCCTTGTATATAATGGTGTCGCCAAACAATACCAGAGTGTGAATCACAACACAGGTTTCTTCATGGATCACCCTGCCTTACCATACCAAACTGAATTGATTGCATTTTCACAAAACAAATTTCATATATTAAGTAAGCTGAAAGGGCTGAAACCTTACTCCATCATGAAATTGTGCTAGAATTTTATCTGATCATTTATAAAAACAAGAAAAAAAAAACAGAACAAAGTCTAATGACGAGTTTCATATTCATTGGATCAGTGATAGCTAAACATGTAGCAACATCCTGTAATGAAACCAAATCCTTAGTGTTTTAAATCTCAACAAGCCATGAACAATCAGGAACAATGATATAGTGATATACTCTTGTCATCTGACACACTAGCAAGGCGACCTCCACCAGGTCGAAATGCCACTGCCCAAACCTGGTCTGTGTGATTGCTCATTGTCTGTATAGCTGCTCTCATCTTAAAATCCCATAGTCTTACAGTTTTGTCACTTGAGCCTGTTGCAATAGCCTCTCCATCAGGGCTTACATCCACACTCAACACCCAGCTAGCATGACCTGACATGGCCCCAATTAGAGCTTTCCCCTCAGCATCATAGATATGCACATGACCATCATCAGATGCCGAGTATAGCTTCCGTGAATCAGGCTCTGGAGAAAACACTAGAGACCTAACGGGCATGTAATGGCCTTCAAGGTGATGTAGAAATTTGGCACGAGCTACATCAAAAACAGAAATCGTGCCATCCATTGAGCCACAAGCAAGACGTCTTCCATCAGGACTCCATGCAACAGATAGGACAAACTTCTTGCTGCTGCTTTTATCAGAGGGCTTCGGTCCTTCAGGACGAGGAATTGATAAAGTTGAAATCAACCTCCACGTTGCAGTGTCCCACAGCTTGATTGATGCACTACCCCCACCAGCAACTGCAAGTGTTGTACCCTAATTTTGAAAGCTATTGTTAGAAAGCCAGTCAAAACAAATTCGAAAGAAGCACTTAAAAGACGTTCAACATAACATGTCAATTATAAGTTGTCGCCAAGAAAATTATTCATTATAAGTAGTAGACTTGACATTCAAGATAAGGTTATTAGCACCACCTGAAAAGATATGTAAGACTAACATAGAAACCACAGAAGCAGGGGTGGGTTGAGCCTTGCATGTTGATGGGGGGAATCTTCTATATGTTATATATTTTGTCTTTTTTTTCTAAGGTATATATTTTTTTGTCTTAATGGCCCCATCAAAAATTGTTAGCCCTTATTCTCTGTCTTTGACCCCAACAAAAGTTGACTAGCTCCGCCCCTGCATAGGAGGTTGTTAAGTGAAGACAGAAAGAGAGATATTTTACAATGATAAACTTAGCAGAGACAAACTCATACATTTATGCATAGAACACGTGCCTTCGGAGAATTCTGTTAACATAAGATCTTCAGAAAAAGTGACAGCTTATCGGTGAGAGCTTATTTTGCCAGGCTTAGCTTCATTTACTGATTCATTATAATCACTAGAATACGATATCATTTATTACAAAGGAGAATGAGCAAAACAGTAATACTCTACCTTGCCTACACTGTTCAAATAGGCAACAAGGTAATCCAAACTGAGGCATTGGTAAAATAATTAATATGAATGTCTTTCATTGAAATAAACACTTCATTCATTTGAATAATAGTACTAAATTATCTATACCAGTGACCTTCAAATTTAAAAAAATTCAAACAATAATCAATCAATTCCCATAGTTATAATAAATTATCCGAAATTTCTTCTGCAAAAAGTCCAATAAAATTATTACCTTGGGATCGAATTGCATTTGCCAGACCTCAGAGGGAGGAGCTTCGAGAGTGGCGATGGTGGCGTTGGTGTCGACGTCAAACACGCGAACCAAGCTGTCAAGGGAGGCGGAGGCAGCGATCACGCCGGAAGGATGGGCGGCCACCGAAACGACGCCGAGACAGTGGCCGGTGTTGGTGCGGACGAGCTCCAGCTCGTCGGGCCTCCACAGTTTGACGGTTTCGTCTAGGGACCCAGTTAACAGAAGGGCCGGGCGGGTGTCGGTGGCGGGAACCCACGTGGCAGCCCAAACGGACTCGTCGTGGGCATTTTCGACGGATTTAAGGCCCGCCAGTTTCATTGATTTTGCCATCTTGGAAATAAGAACCCTAGCAAGTAGATTTACAAGCGAAGTGCAGTGTACGGTTTGAATTTTTGTTTCTTAAACCGCTTTTGGAGTTTTTGTCAGATTTTTGGAGGGGATTGAAGTATTGTTGACTTTGGGCCTTATTGACTCAGATATTCCGGGTCAAGCCAGGCCTTACTGACTTTGGGCCGTACATACGAAATCCATGGCAGCTCCATTGTAGTATACACTCTATATTTGATGGAAAAAATTTTACCCCAGAAAAAAGAAATAAGAAAAAGTTTTCAATGTTCGTCAATGACAAGTGGCAAGTGGAGTTTTCCACAAAAGAGAAATATATTACTAGTGATTTACCAGTTGGGTGAAGTGAAGATGATCATGCGGGCATGAGTTGTGGGCAATAAGGGTTGATTGTTTATTGGATATGAACTACGAAGTCTTTTTCTTCTAATTTTCATAATATATAAAAGGAAAGAAGAAGGGTTGGGGCTTGGGCGGGTGGGGAAGGGAGGGAGGTAGAACAGCTGATCTTGGTGAGACATTCCATCTATTTCAAATTTTCAATCATAATATGGCCCACGGCACTGGCTTTAATTGAAGAAAAGGAGCATGTAAAATTATGGGCAAATGGCAACTTAAAAGCTATCTGTTTCACTTTTTCAGCTTGGCCTCGTCGTTTGATTTGAAGCCTTGAATATCAAGGGGGCCAGGACAGACATTTTTCTGAGTTGTTGCTTTTGATCGCGGTGTGGTTAATTAAGCACAACCCTTTTTAATTAACCGCTGATGCTCCTCTCGTCTATCGATGGTCGCTTGATCAATTCGTTCCTGCTCTAAAGAAGCTGGCAGACATTTCTGTGTCTATCCCCTTAGGCGTATACAGACCGGTCGGACAAATCCCATTTCTCCGGTTCCAGTTCTTGGTGAAAAATAAATTCCCCAGTGCTGGAAACTTAAATGTAGATAAATACTAGTAGTACCTTTTACAGAACAAGTATTCATCACATCAAAACCAAGCTTTTAAAACTTTAAACTGCAAACTCACACCATTTTTCACTAGACTACAAGTGCAAATAGACAAGGCTTCAATAGGTGAACAAAAAACACCATGAGAGCCCATTGTGAATACTCGACAAATTAATCAATTCCTAAACATTCTAGTATGATACCCAACAGAACTTCAAGCTTGTAATAATCTCCAGCTTAGGCTCCAGCTGATGAACGCAAAAAAACAGCACAGTCAGAGCCAACCGCCATGCATCCACATCATCCCTGGTACCATCCAAGATAGATACTCTTCAAATCATCAGAAACTGAGAAACACCCAAACTAACAAGGAGCTCCATGACGGTGAACAAAAAACCAACTCACATGAAGCTCCCATTTCCGTAATTCCTATTTATATATCTACTAATATTATTTTAATTAATACTATATATACCCTAGTATAATATATTCAGTCAACTTTGATTAATCGTATGTGTACGGGGGAACCAAATCAACCAGAAAAATTTGGGAAACGTCTGAACTTGTTCTTCAACTTGTTGCTGGATCGCACCTATATCCTTTGCTTCTCTTTCATGGAGTTTATTTTCTCTAATTTCAACCCATCCCTGAATCTGGCAATAAAGGTCTCAGCTTTAGCGTTAACATCAGGACTGGGACAAAACACCGGGACCCCTCCAATTGCAACGCCAACCCCGTCATCACATCCCATGACGCTGGCCGTCTCCACGTCACCCTTGCTTGATGAGAAATCAACTTCCTCCAAGCCCGGAGAACTACACCGAGAACTAGGAGTGCTCGGTATCTTAACAAAATCCCCACGAAAAACAAATTTGAACTCCGTCATTTTCAATGGTGGCGGAGGTGGCGGTGGTGGTGTCGGAATTAACGGCGACTGTCCACCGCTGTTCACGTTCTCGCCGTAATAGCTAGTAGTATTTGCTTTTGTCGGCAATGGTGGCCTACTGATGGTGGCTGTAGTTCGCCTCCTTGAAGGTTCGGGTGGCGGTGTTGGTGGTGCAGGTGGGGGTTTGGATGGCGGCGGAATCTGACTCTTTTGCTTGGACAGTCTTTTTGTAGAGAAAAAAGCTGGTGGCGGTGCAGGTGGTGGTGTTGGCGGGATCTGAATATTTCGCTTTGATGATCGTTTTGAAAGTGAAAATGCTGGTGGGGGCGGTGGTGGAGGCGGAGGTGCAGGCACTGAATGGTTTTTTGCTTTTGCTGCCCTTTCTGAAGAGATTGTATTTTTGAAAGACCGAGGGTGGTGGTGGCGGCGGTGGAGGTGGAGGAGGTGCTGGTGATGGTGGTGGCATGGTAGTAGAGTAATAAGGTGGTGGCATGGTAGTAGAGTAATAAGGTGGTGGCTCACGTGGAGATGCAAAGGACAATCGTGCTGATGATCATGATCCTTTGTCTTCTGTTTCTTCTTGCTCTTCCTTAATAAAGCAAAAACCATCTTTATTTCTTTGGTTGCATTACTTCTTCTACGTTCCAATTTCCCATACTTGTGCTCCGATCTAATGCCCATATGCACTGGCGGTGATGGTGCTCGCCTAGGAGGTGGCGGTGGAGGCTGTGGTGGTGTTACTGGCTGTGCAGACTCAAGATTATTGAATTCAACATTATCGTTCTGAGTCATCACCTTCTCTTTCTGCCCTACAGCTTGATAAATTCGTCTTGGCTTATGGCGTGCAGCTGGAGGCGGAGGCGGTGGTGGAGGTGGAGTTGACGGTGGTGATGAAGGTGAAGGACGAAGCACAAAGGTGTCAACCGGAATTACTTTCGCTTCAGATTCCTCAAACTCGCATCTCGTCCTACGAAGCTCATGGACTTGATCATTATATTTTGTTGAAGATCGATAATTGTTTATTTCAAAATCATCAAAAAAACGAAACCGATCTTCACTAGTCTCCCACAAAGACTCCTGTCTCAGATCTGGATACGAGCTACTGCTTCTCTTCAACCTCCGAACGCTGGTTCCCGACGCGTTCATCGGAGGATTATCATCGTAGATCTTCCTTTCTGGATACCCAAACCATTGTTGCGAATTAACACGATGGCTAGACGCCTCATTCTTATTATTGTTATTATTATTATCATTTCTAACGTTGTTGTTGCCGCTGCTGCTGCCGTTGTTATCATCATCATCATTTCTTCTAGCAAAAACACCGCAAAGAATGGCAAACAAGACTAGAAAAATGTTGAGGGAGTCCCAGCTTTTCCTCACACCGTTGGGTCTAAAAATCTGAGAGGTGATGGAGAGAAAAGGAGGGACGGCAAAGAACAAGACAAGCAATGCGATGATGGGTAAGAGAATGATGAGAACCGGTGGGGTGAAAAGAGGAGATGGTGACCGACGGCGAGGCATGGAGTTGCTCAGCTGTGGCCATATCGGTGGAGGGTCTCCGGCTATTTCCATGGGAAGGGTTTTGGAGTCTTCTTTGTATTTTGGAGTATGTTATGTTTTGCTTGTGAGGAGAGACTTTATAAACTACAAGGGGGAGGAGCCTTGACTTTAGAGGAGAGATATTACGTTATAAGAAATGAAATAATGGACCTTAGCTATTTTTTAATTACAAACTGGATTGTTACATAACCATTAATTTATTTGACTATTTAATATATCGGATATGAAATTAAATACATTTTAAATAAAAAATATATATGTGTACTTTACCTTTTTTTTTAATTTAATTATTGGTTTGAATGACATATGACCATTTTATTGTACTCTAATTATTTAGCAGCTTTTTTTTTAAGGCTATTCAAAGCCATAAAATGACTTACCGGGGATTAATCTTTTGCTCTCTTTAAACACAATAAACTCTTGATATTGTCAAGAAAATAACTGAATGATTGAAGTATTTCTAACCAAGACACTTTCATGGCAATCAGACAACAGCAAATGATAATTCAACAACATGAAAAGTACATTCATACGCAAATCTCTTAAACATTTTTCAATCAGCAAGAAACACAAATTTGTACGGATTGATTTTACTTCATGAGCTAGCTGGTGCCTGGTGCATAGGCACTTGTTTGGTTGCATTTCTCTTTGGCCATGAATGCCCTGACTAGGCTCATCAGCATGATTTGTTTGATGTGCTTTAATTTCCCAAAATCAGAGTAAATATATACTTTTTCCATGGCTAAGAGACAAACAGCAAATGACAAAATAGAAACCACTTTGTAAGATCTTGCTTAAAACGAAAAAAAAACAGTTGTTTGTCCGAATTCAGATTTCTGGTTGGGAAAGAGTTTGTCCTTCCTGACTTCCTGCAGGGGATTTTACAAGTTAAGCGAAAATCCTGAAAGGAAAAAAGAAGCCAAATTGGACCCTGTTCCCACGTGTTGGCCAATCCATAGGTAAGCTAAACTCTTATACAATGACGTTTTGAGTTACTTTGTTCATTATTGGAGCGTGGCTGAAATGATTGAAATCACAACCTTTTACAGCAAAACTCGAAAACAATGCCTTTGGGTGGCACTTTCTCAAAAGAAAAATATACATATATATATATATATAAACTTAAAACCGCGCCCCCTTTAGTTTCTCTTTTTCCTTTCCCTGTTTACTGTATAATCAGTGTTATTTGGTATATAATCATCAATCATTAGCATCAGAATGCGGAACCTTAAACTTGGCTGATGATCCCCTCCTCTGTCAGATCCAACTAATTAAGTCTTACCGATATAAGACCTTACATAGCAAAGGAAATCACGTTCTCACCTTTGTTGGAAGATAAAAATTTAACCTATAAAATGAAATAAACCAATCAAAATAATTATTGAAGAAAGGCTTAGTGGAATCCATTCATCCAGCACCCTCCAGCTTTTTGAACCTATCGAGGTAAAGATTTCAGGTGTTTTAAAATTAATGAGGAGACAAAACAACTTTAAGTGGACAAACAGTGATAATTTTCCTTGCATCACCTTTTCCACTACCATCGGCTTCAATTTCACCGGGGGAAAACTTTACCCATCAGAAAGATACACACAGAATAATTTTTTTTGAAAACTCTCACTTTACCTCTCAGCTCATGGCCAGCCAAACTAATTTTTATTTTTTTGATGGAAAACTATAAGAAGATCTTCCAAGCATGGCAATTACTTGTCCAGGAAAATCATGGCTGTACCACCAGCATTCCTGGGGAGAAAAAAAAAAAGAAAGATTTTAATTTGATGGGTAGCTCTTATCTTATTCCTGGCCCACGATTTCCCTTAGGATACAGATTATTATCATAATTCATAAATAAATAAATAGATAAAACCCTTTGGATCAGGACCCATCGCTGGTTTGCTACCTTTCTTCAGAAAGGTTTTTTTAGTTTGCTTTCTGATGCAATGCTCCACCAAAACAACAATGGCGAAGATATGAACTGCTTCGAATCACGCCGTGACGAGTACGCGCATGGTTAACGTGTGGGATTAAGATGAATTTTTGTGTGTGTGTGTGTGTTTGACTGCATTTATTCTTCAAGTAGGGTCTTGTAAAAAGCGGGAAATAAAAAAAGGAGTATAAAGACAGGTAGGGAAAGGACAGCCACTGACCACGAAGTGTCCTCTAAGTCTCTCCAACAGCTAGGCAGGTAGCGTCCCGGTAGACAGCCTGTCGTTTTCTCTCACGTGACAAAATTTCTTTTTGTTCAATAATTTCAAGTTTAGACGGATGATTATAATCAATACTTAGATAAGGTGATTAAGAAATTACTTTACTTGATCAGACCTAATCATTTATCCCAATAATCTTTTTTCTTTAATAAGATATAGTATTTGAGCTCAATTAATTACATATTTGAGAAATGGATATTTCAAGTGTTGATGATGACCCTATTTCAAAAAGGTATCAAAACGCTGTTTCTTACTATCATTATTTAGCATAGATGGATGTTGTTGTCGCCTATTGTTTCATTATTTCATCAAATAAAATGTGTAGGAGCCAAAGAAGCAAACTAAAAGAGAAACGGGAAAGATTATTATATTTTATCTATATATATATATATATATATATATTATCGAGTTTAGCTTCAGCCTCTGCTATGTGGTCAACATTTTTTATTTTTTAAAAATAATTTTATAAATTACAATTTCAAGATAACAATTAAGAAAAAAAACTCATGACATTCACGTTTAAAAATATCAAACTATTTAACCCATTGATTCATACATGATTTCTTTCTTAAAAAAATAAAGTTTAAAAATTTCAAATTTGTAAAAAAATATTCATGCTTTGAAATACTTTTGTAACATTATATTGTGCCATGTAGTCATTAAGTTTATTTATTTGCAATATCATATTATATTGAGTATTTGATTTATTAGTTAATGTATGATTTTTATCTTAAAAAAAGTAAAACTTATATCCCCTAATATATATAAAAAAAATCACCCTTAGAGTTCGAATCCCCAATTATATAAAAAAAATATTCACCCTTAGAAATATTTTTGTAATACTATATTGTGCCTTGTAGTCACTAAATTTATATAAACGAAACATGCATTTTTATAATTTTTAATTTTTTTTAAATTGTCATCTAATTTATTTTTTGTAATACTATATTGTGCCATGTAGTCATTAAATTTATTTCTATGAAACATGCTTTTTTATCATTTTTATTTATTTTTAACTATTAAAGAAAACTTAAATAATTTTTTATTATTCTATTATATTCAAATAGACCCTTATTGTTAATGGTTAAGTAATTATTATTAATCAAAACACCACTTATTATTTTTATGTTATATGGTGTTGAGCTAATGTTAACATGAAGCATGAAAAAAGCCACATAATCATATTATCATGTCTAGTTAGTATGTCATATTATCGTTGAATATAATATATCAATACAACAAGTCAGTACTACATGACATAAAATGACAAGTGATATTAACTAATAATTATTAATCAATTATTAATTATAAATATTTATTTAATTCAAAATAAAAATATAAAAATTTAATTACATGTAATAAAAATAAATATTTATTTAAAATTTTCATAATTATTAATGAAATGTAATAAAAATATACCTAGTCACTTAATTTGCCTGATATATTATAATACACGGGCACACGAAATTCTCAAAAGAGTTCCCATCTAGTTTTAGTTTTCTCTTAACTAGTTTTGAGTTTCTTTAGTTGCCATCAATAATTAGCAAAAGAAAAAAAAATCAAGTTTTCCATTAGATTTCTGATTTTCAGATCCAAAAAAACTCATGAATTGCTTGAACAAAATACTGGGCATCACCACTCACTTGAGGGAATGCAATTCCAAGCATGTGGCCTATATTTACAATGTTAAAGAAAATCTTCAACAGTCATGAAGAGGAAATGAGGTACTCAATCGTCGCAGGCATGATGTATAGTGTAGGATGGAAATCGTTTGGCAACCACGAATTAGGTGTACGAAAGAAATGAATGGATGGCTAGAAAGAGCAAAAACTATGGATAATGAAGAGTTCGTTTGGCAATTGAAAAATAATTTACTGGGGTTGGAGTTGCAGGGAGGAAAGGTACTCAACCGTCGTAGACAAGACGTATGATGTACGGTGCAGGGTGGAACTTGTTCAGCAACAACCACAAATGAGGCGTACTAAACTAGTGGATGGATGAGTGGAAAGGGCGAAAACCATGCATAATGAAAAGTCCATCTAGTAATTAAAAAATAATTTATTGGGAATTTTTTTTTTCAATATAAAAATTTTAATATTTTTTATTTTTTAGATAAATTGTCTTCAAGATTTTTTATCGTTTGGATCATTTATGAAATTTTTTTTTATCATCACCAGTGGAGTTATTTGAGCATAAATACGAGTTTATTACAAATAATAATATTATTTGATTTTTATTAATTTAAAATTAAAATAAAAAATAAACATAAAAATAATTAAAATCAATAATAATATTTTTTAAAATATTTAATCACGTATTATAACTATATATTAAAAAAAAAACCAATGTTTTATCTTTGCGTCGGCTAGAGTGATATATGAGTTAGTTGAGTTTGAAAGCTTTTAAGCAAGGGTTTAAACGTTTGTACTTTCACATGGGTTTGAAGTCTCCACACTTATATTTTTTATTTTTGAATTATTCTACTTTTTAAGATGATTTCCTTTTATCAATTCTTTTATTTCATCTAAGTTTATAAATTTCTCAATCAATTTCGTTACCTTAACTATGAGCTTCGAATGATAGATAAGATTCCTGCTTTTTGCTTGAGTTAGAATTTTTTATTGAACTTGAAATCTTACTTGTTGAGTTATAGAGTTTGGGCTATCCATTGTTGTGGCCCATAAAATTGAAATAATGGATGCTGGATTGATGTATGGTTCGACAATTTGGTAACAAATCCTGCTAAGTACCTCACACCTCGTTTGTATTTATGTGGGTGTGGATCATTTTTGTCCCTTATTCTTTTGGATCCAGTTAACGGATTTAGATCCGATTAATGGGTGTTTATAGATATAAATTAAACACGTTTGTATTTGAGTATTTTATTTAACGATTAATGCAATATAATTATTAATACGATCCTTAACTCTTATACAATATTAATTTATAATAAAGGAAGTTCTAATTTTCAAAAAAATTTCTATCTCATATTTTTTTTATTATAATATTATAAAAATATCAATATTTATTAATTAAGTAAGATATCCAAAATCTGTGTGTATGTGTATTCACTTTAAAAATATTAATATATATGAATTGTGTAAGGCATCAAAAACCTATAGCATTCACTATAAAAATATTAATATATATGAATTGGGTAAGACATCCAAAATCTATAATTATATGTATTTATCTATCATGAAAATATTTTTTATTATAATTATTAATAAGATTTATTCAATTTATAAATATATAAAAAAATTTATTTATATTAAATGATTTTATTAAAAATATATTTTAATTTTAATAATATTAAATAATTTAAATATTAAGGTTTTAATTAAAAAATTAAGTTAAATAGTAATATTTATTAAATATATATTGTTAGAGATCAGTTTCTTTTGACGTAAAATATTTATTAAATAAATATTGCTAAACTTAGTATAAAGATCCATTTCTTTTGACATAAAATATTTTCAAAATTTATATGAAAAATTTATTTTCAATATAAAACATTTTAAGAATCATAAAAATGTCTTAAGTCGACGTAAAATGTTTTTTAGAAAAAAAAAACTCTTATTCTAAGTCTGGAAATTTCTTTTCGGCTCAAGGGTAAGTTCAAGTTTCGGCCCATTACACCATTTGTCCTGCTGCCTCGCAACGCTGCGTTTAGTTCATAATTTGTCCGGGATATTCTAATTTTTTGTTAGGAACAAAAACCCTAACGCTCTCTGTATTTTTAAACGGTTGAACCCTGAAGCAACTTTCTTCTCCGTTCGATTCATTTTTCCGGCAGCCCTTTCTTCTTCTTGTTTTTTTTTTCCCTTCATTTTCTGGAACAATAAAGAAGGAAAGAGAAAAAGATGGTTTGGTTTCAATGCGAGGATTGCGGCGATAACTTGAAGAAACCAAAGTTAGCAAACCACTTCAGAATTTGCTCTGCTTCCAAGGTCTTATTTTCCCTTTCATTTTTCTTTTCTTTCAACATTTTTTTTCGGTTAAACTCGAATTCTCGACTAATCAATCATCTTTTGGGATGATTCCGCAGCTATCGTGCATTGATTGTGGAGGGATTTTTGGGCAGCAAAGCGTTCAGGGTCATACGCAATGCATTACTGAGGCAGTAAGTTTCGTAATGCTTAATTTTATTCATTAACTTGCTAACAAGTAATCTGACAGAGCATTGTGTTTTTCCCTTTTTTTTTTTTTCATACTTAGGAAAAATATGGTCCTAAGGGACAAGGTAAATCACCGAATATTTCGAATGCAAAACCCAGCAAGGAAACAAAGGAAAAACCTGATATTGATATAAATGTGGGCTTATCTCAACGTCCTCCATGGTTTTGTAGGTAATGTTCATTTTTATCCAGGCTTTGTTACATCCCTTTTTTGTCATATATTATCTTGTATGTGGAGGCTTGTGATATACTGTTGAGGGCAATAAGTCTAGTAATTTTCTTAGAACCTTACTTGAATGTCTTTGATGGTGCCTTATTTTGTGGTGGAAGAACATTTAACTTAGGAATCTTACTGAAAAAGTTATGAGGGGTGTTAGTTGGGAATTGCATGTGGCTTTTGTTCAATGAAGAAATAAAACAATTAGTGTTGCTTAAATCGTATTTTTGTATTGCACAGAGGTCCTTACCCATAGTTTTGCTCAAGCTACAAGCTTTTAAGTTTTGATCAAAGTTTAGTTATTCTTCCATTCTAATTTTCCTTTGCTTTCACAAATGAATTGAGGAAGCTTCAGATCAACAAATCAAATCAAGTCTTAATGCAAAAGGAGTTATTTTCATTCATGGAGAATATATCTCTCTGGTCCCCTTGGGTGTCGTCTGGTTTTCTGTGAATAATTCGGTTCATTAGCTGTAGATTTCTGGAGCCAATGCTATAGATTTTGGTGATTTTTAAAGTTTATCGTATAAGATTTGATGTCTCATTTAGTGAAGCAAATTATATCTGGCTAGCTGCTGAATATAATGACTTTGACATTTCATCTGTTGAGGCAGTTTGTGTTGAGCTCCTGAGCTACAGTCCAAATTATCATGATATAGAAATTACACATGATAAATATTTTGCTTGTGTTTGCAGTTTATCATTCTATATTGTAACCTGAGGAGATTCTCTTCATTATCTATGTATTTGCAGTCTTTGCAATACCAAGGCTACCAGCCAGCAGACCTTGCTTCTTCATGCTGATGGAAAGAAGCACAGGGCAAAGGCTCGGGCTTTCCATGCTAAGCAACAACCTAAACGGATAGAAGAATCTGCCCCAGATACTAAGGTTTCAACTGAAAATAAAGTGAATGGTGAGTTGGTGGAGAATAAATCTGTTGGAGAGGCCAAACAACAGGACCTGCCCAAAGATGGCCATGTCCAAATCAACTTAGAAGCAGCAAATGGAGATTTGTCATCAAAGAAAAAGAGAAAAATAGATGTGTCTGTGAGGGATGGTACTGACAAAAATAGCGGGGATGATAGCTTAGAGGAAGCAGGCAATGGAGAAGTCATTCAGGTTGGGGTAGAAAAAACAGTGGACATAAAGAGAAAGTCAAAGAAACTGAAACATGATATTGTAAAAGAACATAAAGCAGAATCTGCCTCTACCAAAGAAGATAACAACCGGAAGATAAAGTGGAAGAATTTGATTAAAGCAGCCTTGAAATCTGTATGTCTCCTAATTATGATTCATTTTATTTCAACCTTTTTTCATTATATTAGAAATTATGGTCCTTATAATTGTTAACATAGCTTTGTTAAGATAAACATGTTGGTATAAATGCAAGAGCTCCCATGTCCTTTCCCTGGAACCAGTGGTTGGGGACTAAGCAGAGGCCCAAAGTTGCTTTCCTTTTATTAAAGTTAAAATGATCTTTCCCTCCGTTGAACTTGCACTTGCATTTGTGCTTTCCCTTTTATGAATGTGGCAGAGTCCTGATGAAGTTTTGAAGATACGAAAGCTGCAAAAACTGGTTCTAAAAGCCCTCCGAGAAGCAGGTGTAGATGAAGAGAAGTCCCAACTGACTGAAATGTTGGAGCACAAGGTGAGGGGTGGTTCTTTGTGTTATTTGTTTACTAGCAAGTTTTCTGTGTAGAGGTTTTTTTTTATTATTATTATTAAAAAAAAGAACTTCTGTAAATTTTTTTAGGCGGGTTGGTTTAAGAACTGAAGCTCTTGTTTAATCTTGTCATAATATTCTTTTCTCCTTGTCTGTGCAGATTACTTCAAGCTCCAGATTTACAGTTGACAACAAATACGTCCGTCTAGTGGCTAAAGACTAAAATTAATCTTTAATGAAGCTCTTTTGTGGTGGATTTTGGAGGATGGCAATGTCACCGGCAATTGTTTTTCCATTGCAGTTTTACAGTCATTCGTTCCTTCTTTTTTCTTTTTGGAAGGCCAGTCATTTATTACTACCTTTTTTTTTAGAATTAAGTTGGAGCTGATCTTTAACCTATTAATCGTCTCCAATGCTTACAGAAATTGTCTTCATCTACTGTATAAGAGCAAGGAGAATTTTGCCCAAGTTATGAGTGTAATTCACATTGAAATACCACCAAAAAGGATTTTGTGTATTCCAAAGTATACGTAACAACCATAAACTTCTTGCCTTTGCGCCTGGATATTTATAAACGGACGTGAACTCTTAATAAGTTTTGATGTCGTGACACTTTCAGCCTACTAGGAATCTCATTGAAGTCATAGCCGCATGTTCTGTTTATTTATTTATTTGGGCAAGTTAGCCGCCTATTTTATGCTGCTGGATTATTGTTTAAAGACTATAATTAATTGAGACTCCGCCGGTGTATTAAAAAAATTCGTTATAAGGCGCCGAGGAAGATTGATTCAAGACCTTTCCTGGACTCGCTGGAGTACAGATTAAGATGTCAATGCAAATTCTTTCCTCCATTGGTCCAACAAGCATATAATCAGCACCTGGCGGAAGGTTATTCTTATAGAGCTAGCAATTTCACTTGGTTGTCATTTCGACCGGTTAGCCGTCACCTGAGTCAGCCTACAGTGATGACAAGTGTGGACAGGATTGAAATTTGTTAATAAAGTGCAATTCTGTATCGACAATGAAGCAAGTTATTCCATTAATGAACTCATCGTATTACTTACAAATAAAAATAGCCTCAAATTTCATGGTTCTATCAAAGGCCAGGTATAATTTCTTGTATGAATTCCTGTAAACAAAACATTTCTCCAATATCTGTTGTCTTTACAAGGATGCTCAGCAGATGGGACAGGTCGGTACTGTTTCTCATATAGCATGCTTGTGGGGCAACAGTTTCCACATTGCCGCCCAAGCATTCAATATTTGATTTGCATGCAATTCCTTTGAACTCAACATGGATAAAGGTGTGAGGAGCATACTTCGAATTCTAGGTGCTTAGGTTGAAAATAGAATAAAAACTATTATGATCAGCAGTACAACAGAGCATGCCATTGCCTGCAACAACAAAGACGTGCAGTATATGTTATATACTATTCGAGTATATTGAATGGTGATTTTTCACTCATTACATTAAAAATAAATTGAAGAAATACATTTACCAAACAATAAGTTCAAACATGAGAAAAATAGAAATCTAATAATCTTAACCAATGGCAATAATGATAGACTTTTTCTGGTATGTATGAGATTATGATCCGTTATTAACTATTGAATAAGTTACTTTTGAGAGGAGGAGATGGGGGAGGGGGGAGTTGGGGGTGTACTTACAGCAATTGCGGAAGCAGCAAGGCCTGCTCTCTCCCTAGGATCTTTGCGGTAGTGATTTCCAAAATAAAGAAATGTAGCATAGTACCACATCAATGGGCACACAAATCCTAAGAGGAAGCTGTAACAAAAGAAGGTAACATTATAAATGGAAATTTGCAGCTGGGAGAAGAAGAAGAAAGGTGAAAAGTACTCACGAGAACCATCCTATCCCACAGCCAAAGCATGGAAGAGGTTTGTCAAAAATCCCTGTCTGGAAGTCCTCTACATCTTTGATAAGGGTATACTTGCCTTTTTCCGTGGCATCTGGTGCTTGCCCTACCATCACAGCTTTTCTTCTCAATTGATTGAATAGACATAAAAATATCATGATGCTAAGATCAATGTTCAATTGATAGAGGATCACATATGGAAAATTGCCGCACAATATATATAGATCAAGGAAGCAGGAAATGACACTGTGCCTCTACTTGCTACAGGGAATGGGTCAAAAAAACCCTGATTGGGCATGTGAAGGCTAAATAGAATCACTACCTTTAAATACTGAATAGTATCGAGCAGATGGCCTCAAAAGATCAAGATGTTTATCAGAGACTGATTTTGCAAGCTCAAGGTTGTTCCTCAAATTCCCTACCTCCTCAACAGCAGCACCTGTGACATTGAGAATTCATGTTCATAACAGGTAAGGTAACTGGATCGAGTGTATCTAGTCATCAATTAACCTAGGAAAAGAAATCCTCGTACTAATCATTTGCTTTATTTTCTTCTTAAGTTCTCCATGAACTACTCCTTGTGGCAGATTGTCCACAACAATAAAAAAACAAGGTCTGTTGCCACAATGTTGGATTCCTAGTACAAGGTATACATAACAAAAATCTTTTGATGAGGATCCAAGCATAAAATTTCCTACAAATATCAGAACCTTTCCTGTTAAATACCATCTATCCTTGTTCAACAGATCAACCACATTCATATGTATCTGCAACCATACACCATGATAGAAGCATTTTTTGAACAAGCAATTGCTCAAAAGTGATAAAAAGGGGTATACGGCAGGTGAAATACACTTCACTGTAGAATATAGTTCATACTGTTCTGCTCTTAGCTCAACTTCATTTCATTCCTATCAGATAAGCAGCCATAAATATAGTCGCAAGCTGTATGCTATTGACTCATAGACAGAAAAACTTTATAAATAAAAATTAGTAAAGCAACTACACTACTGATGATATTATTTTCTATTCTTGTTCTTACAAATCAAGGTATTTATTTACCTAGAAAAAAATCATATGGTAGTATTTGACTTTTCATCATCTCTCATCAGCTGCGTGACATTCTTAGACATTACAGTATTTCTATTTAGTATCAGAATTCATTATCAATGCAGTCAATAAACTCTTATACTGGCTCATAAGAAAATTGAATGCCTCAAAAAAGCAAAAAACATAAGAGCTCTTCTGAAAGAAGGGAAACAAATATAATCAAACCGCATCAATAAAAGTACAGGTTTTCTCTACAACTTATTGGCCTGACTAATAACTGGCATATTTAGGGAGAGAAATTAGTAAACACAAAAAGGGAGAAAGATGGATTACTTTGATCCATGTCTGCTGGAGCTGATGAGTTTGGAGTATCAAAGGCGTCAATGTATACTCAACGAAACAATTTCCTGCTTCAAATGGTAACGTAGAACCTCAGGTTTAATTCTATAGCTGATGATGAATTGCCATCTATGATCATGCTTTCAAACATAGTCCATTTTGTAGTACAAATAAAAAGAAAAATAAAAATTTGCTTGAAAAATTGATCTATGATGATACTAAACAGCTAGGCTAGCAGCAGGTAAGCTAGCATAGAAGCAAAGAACTAAAAACAGAAATATCTTTCAACAGAGTCAACGTGCTCTTAAACTTAAAGTTCCCAGACAACAAAAATGCAGCTAAATTCATGCTTCTTTGAAACTCTGCTACGATCCAAGTTAGGATAGAGTTCATAAATTCAACAAAAAGTTCGAAAAATCCAGGATAACTGCTATGACATCGACGTATATAATTTTTAGGAATCATTCGGGGAAAAAAAGAAGGAAAGAAAGAAGATTGAAAAGAAAAACCACAAATAAGAAAGGAAATCAATAATATAATTAATTACGATCTGATATCTTTCAATCTCTGGTTATTTGAATTCAATTACTTGGATTATTGAACAAGTAGATAGAAATCTCATTGGATCAATAATTACTAAATAAACTTCAGATATACAAGTGGGAACAGAAATATCCAGATGAATTCATGACCAGAATTAAGCTAAAACAATCCAAGAAAAAAAAAAGCAGATTATATGCGCCATAATCTATAATTAAAATCCCATAAAAAAGACGAGTTCAAAACACATAATCTTAACAATCAGACAAGAAATAATCAAAGAACATAAAATAAAAAAAGAAAGAAAAAGATAAACTTGCCTGCGAAGAACTGGAACCAAGGAGTGAGCTTTGGATTGATGAATTCTTTTGTAAACCACAGAAATGAAGAAAACTTGCAAAAAATTTGCAATCGAGGAGTGTTTTACATGACAAGCAAAGCAGAAAACTTCTCTCCTCTGTTTGAATACGGAGCGAAAATTGACTCCCCTTTATGTCTTCTGCAATAATTATGGCGGAAAATTATGGAAAAATAAAATTTTTTTTGTAATTTCGCTTGTCTTAATTTATTATTATCCTTATCATTTCTTGTAATAAAATAAACATGCTTTTATTCACTTTATTTGAGCGCTACCTTGAAAATTATTTTCTCCTTGATTGGAATTGGACCACGTAGAAAATGACAACTATACCCCTTAGTATGGCTCATCTTGTGTTTTCTTGGTATGGTATTAATGAATTTTTATCGGCTGGTCCATTTTCGTTTGGATTTTTCTGTTTTTTCTAATTTCTAAATGGCCTACTTGTTGCCGGCAATGATTGAGTTATTCTGGTACCAAGCAAAGCATTGTGTTATCACCACTGTATTTTCCAATGTATCTTTCGTCGATTTTGACTAATCTAACAAAAGCCACCAATTTCATTTTTATACGGTTGGGGTGATTTATTTAGATAATATTTGATGAAGGACTAATAAATAGTTCTTAGTAACATATTAATTAATAAGTAATAGTACTATTAGTTTAAATACAATAGTTGAGAATGGAATTCTTCTGATAGTAAAATGAAATTAGAGAATGCTAGTGGTCCCAGATAATCAGACGATGATAATGGTTCAATATTTTTGTGTGCTTCAAAATCAAAATATGTCTATGTCCATGTCCATGTCCATGTGCTTAGATCATTGAATTCCACGAGAACGATAAGTCCCCACCCAAAGCCTGAAACTTGAGCTTTATTTGATGGTTGAAGTAATTTGGTTTGGAAGGAAAACTTAGAAAACATAAATTAGTCAAATTTCAGGTTCATAATTATAGATTCTGTTCGCAAACCGCACACATAAACGGGCCCTTCTGAGGTTATCAAATCAAATATACATGAAAGTGAATGCCAGAGCCAAGGCCTACTATTTGAGGCCCGGGGTACTCCATGTATTTGAAACGCACCCTGAAATGACTTATCTAAATTTGCATGTCACATGCTGGTATGAAACGACGTAGTATATTGCATTTGTCAAATTCGTGGTGGTTACATGCAGAAGTTAAACAAGATCCATCATCAACCACCCAACTGCCCGAGGAACATTTGGTTCGGGCAAGCATTTTGGGAAGTTGGGCAAAGCTGCTGTTTGGTTGGTTTCCAGCCACGCGCCTCGACTTTCCTGCCGTTTAGTTAGAGCCCATTGGTTCCTTAGCGTTAGCCATCAGAAAGAAAAATGGAAATAAGGTTCAAAGTAAGGAAGAAGGTTGGGTACGATTATTATTATTTTGTTTAATTGCTTGGTTGGTGTGAAGAACAAAGCATTTTGAGGGTCAAACATTGTATAGAGCCGTGATTTAAGGATGAACATGGGACCTTTTGATTGGATATTTCATGGATTAGGTTCAAGCCCACAATTTCCTTCATAAATACTTATTTGAACATTAAGTTATATGGTAGAAAACTTCTAAATAGCATAATTTGATAACTCTTTATGCCCTTTTTTGGACATTGACGATTTGATGTTTATAATCACTATATTGTTTTTTCATTGACATCCCCAGTTCTCTAATCTTCATTTTTAAAATATCTGAAATTTTATTAATTTTGTGATTCATACAATAATAATTTAATGAAAGTGGCCATTTCTTTACCTTTTGAAAGCATGAGAGACAATTGTCACAAACTAGAAAATCAGCCATTTGGGCAGAAAAAAGGTTCCTTGTATCATCAACTTGACAAATTTAGTCGAGACATGTGCTATGTATTAGATTCAAATTTAGTTGTTCAATAGGTTATATTGTATAAAAATATATTTTAAATTAGAAGGTTTTATTTTATTACGGAGTTACTTTGTTGAAGAAGCAAAATACTTAAAAATCAATTTATTTTATTACTCAAGTTGGGCTCAAACTTAGCAATAAAACAAAGCGAACTTCGTAATTAAATCTTAATTTGTTTATACTCCTAAATTTGAGTACCTAAGGGTAGGATGAGATTTAGACAAAAATCTTAAATTTGAATCATAAAACTTTCTTCTTATATATATATATATATAAAATAAAGCTAGACAAAAATTTGAATAGCCTTTTATTTATATAATAAAAGCTGTAACAAGGTTATAGAAGCACAAGCTTGCAAGTTGGAAGTTTGAAGTGGGGGTTTACCGCAAAGTTACAATAAAAGGATTCTAAATAAATTCAAAAGAATTTTTGGAATAAATAATTCTTTTATTATTTTTAATAATTATAATTTAGAAAAATATATTTTATAATTTAATAATGATTAAAATATTAAATAAATCTTTAAATTATTTCAAATTTGTTAAACTAACCTCTACTTTTATATCATAAAAAATAAATTATTAATTTGTAAAATTTTTTTAAATTTTTTTTATGTTGATAGAAAGATTTATTTTAGTGTAGTAAAATAATAAAAAGTTATTTAAAAAAAAAAGGAGTGTACATACATTTTTTTAATATTTTAACTTTCGAACTATTCGTGTTACTTAACAAGATAGAAGCCTTTAGATTTTAACGCGTCGGATCATTATTCGAAGCTAAGCCCAGAACCAACGAAGAAGGCATCCAAGCCCAGAAACAGCTCTCCACGTCCAGGGATTCCGACACCCCAAGTCAATTTGTGGCTTTTGGCGTACCGCCCATACTTTCCACAGACCACTATTCCAGTCTTGTATGGATCCAGGTGTCCGTGGAACGCCACGTTAAAAGTTGAAAGACCGAAGAAATAAACAGTTAGAACATACTCTGCTTTTAGGACAAGTCCAGTAACGTCTCTTCTATTCTATTCACTGTTTACTCTCTTTTCCTACCGGCACTAGTTTTTTATTGCTTCTATTTATAATCCAAAAAGAATCCCAGCACAACGCTCTTGTTTTTCTCTGTCGAAGTGCGCTGTTTGTTGTGAAAATTGAAGATGGGAGATGACACGGGAGTAGCAGCAGCAGCAGCAACAGTAAATGATCATAGTAGCAGCGGTGATCATAGAAAGGAGCTGGATATTTACCCTCTAAGTTGTTACTATTTTGGATCCAAAGAAGCCATCGTTTTCAAGGATGAAACTCTGTCCGATCGTATTAATAGGATGAAATCCAAGTACTTTTTCTGCATCTCTTTTTTTTTTTCATGTAAAATTCAATTGGGTTCTTTTTATTTGCCAATATCTTTCATGGGTTTAACACTTTTAACATTTTTGGCCCCCCAGTTATGCCGCTCATGGACTGAGGACTTCTGTTGAAGCAGTTATTCTGGTTGGTTATTTTTCTCTACTCTCTTTCTGGATGGCTTCAGCTTTGTCAGTGTTATTCTGATTGTTATAGTTTTGAAGTTTTGATTACTAAAAAGAGTTGAATATTGTTTAATTTTGAAAGAATTGCATTTTATATTATTATAGCAAGAATTTTTCTCTTTCTTTGTATCGTGCTTGGCATTAGCAATGACTGCTGATTGACCATAAAGGGGATTTTATTGAAGAATTAGGTTGAAAGTAATGGACTTCAGTTAGTTGAAGGCTTAAACGTATGAACTATTTTGTAGTTATTCTTTTTTTTTTAAAGGTATTTTGTAGTTATTCTTGAGCACGAATTCTTGAAAGTGACAGTCTATTGGTAATCTGTTAAGACTGTTATTAATTTAAAAGCAAAGAGGTGGCTTCTGGTGGTTGAGAACATCCATTTTTAGGCCTCGGATGTGACTTTTTATAAAGGATAGACTGTCTTCTACATGGCGTGCCACTTGAAATGTTGTGAGAAGGCAAACTTGTCGGCTATAACCAGACAATTATATGTGGTTCATGCAAATTAGTCCCATGGGAATGCATTAGTTTAGTTATGTTTCCACAAATGTTTTAAGCAATGTTGTTTAATCAGGTTGAGTTGTTCAAACACCCTCATCTGTTGCTGCTGCAAGTTAGAAATTCCATCTTTAAGCTTCCTGGTGGTCGTTTGAGGCCAGGTGAATCAGGTAAATTGTTAGATTTATTAAACTGTCTTACAAACTTGAATTTGGTTAGGTGAATCATTCTTGAGCTGAAGGGTATTCTTCTAAGGGTTCACTGAACTAAGATGAGCTGAATTTCCAGATATTGATGGACTGAGGCGTAAGCTTTCCAGGAAGCTTTCTGCCAGTGAAGATGGCAGTGATACTGAATGGGAGGTAAAGCAGTTTTCCCCCTATTTCTATTGAAGTATTATTATGGCATGGTGTGAAAATTCTCACCTTCTTTAATATTTAGGTGGGAGAATGTCTTGGCATGTGGTGGCGGCATGATTTCGAAACATTATTGTATCCTTACTTGTCACCCAACGTGAAAAAGCCTAAGGTAGTTGGTACATTGATGCTGCTTCTGCTGTAGTGATATACCTTTCTCTGTTCTTATGCTAATCTCATTTTATAGGAGTGCACCAAAATCTTCCTTGTAAGGTTGCCAGAGAGCCGAAAATTTATTGTGCCCAAAAACCTGAAATTGCTTGCAGTTCCACTGTGCCAGGTTCATGAAAATCAGAAGGTACAAGTTACCCCTACAATTGTGGTAAATAAATGGTGCTTGGACATTGAATGAGACTAATCTTACCACAATGTTTTGTATAACATTTGATGCAATTTCTCTTCCATGGTTTAGATGTCACTTTAAAAAGGCCTTTTGGATATCAATAGATAGCCTTCTTTTTGTGGTAGCTTCATTATGATGTCCTGATATTTATGCTACAAACTTGTTTGTTCATAGCATAAGATTTTCACCAGAGTTTCACATGTTGCTAATGCTTCTAATTTTTTGAATTTTTGTAGACATACGGACCGATAATATCAGGAGTGCCACAGTTGCTATCTAAATTCTCCATCAACATCATTGACACTTAGAATAAGCATGTTGACCATTTGGAGTTGGGTTTGAGGTAAAAATTACAGGAAATAGTGATATGATGTGTGCAACAAGCCGATAGAAGTTTTCAATCTTGGGTTTGTAATTTTCATGAAACCGCAAAACATACTTGTATATACCATAGTTTTCTTACAGGAAGTGATACATAACATTGATCTCAACAATATTAAATTTATCTTTATGTTTGTTTTTTTTTTCTTTTGA